CATGAGATCAGCGTGTATCTTTTTAGCTTTCTCGCAAATACTTGCTTCTGATACGATGTCGCCAGCACACTGTTTTTAGTTATCCAAAGCAAAAGCAATTTCTCAACATGATCTAATGTCTTCGATCTCTGTTTAGAAATTGACTTAACCCCTTTCGCAACGTTAGCAGATTTAATAATGTCTTTATTTTTCACGATTGTCGATATCGTCGTTCTCGGAATACGGTATGCAACAGTTAAATCTCGAACCCGCATGCCACCTTCACATTTCTTAACAATCTCTTTTTTCAGTTCCATTGTGATTTTAGTCATCTTTTTATTTTTCTGTTGCCTTTTTGCAATTCATGATTAATAAAAAAATAATAACATTTTACTTACAAATTAAAATAAAAAGAAATTTAACAAAGTTATAAACTGTGGCACCGCGAACGTCTAGTCTGGTCTAATACACCGATAGTGCTACTTGTTCGTAGATGGTGCGTATAATTGAATTAAGTCGTATACCGAATAAAATTTGTTTCGTCCAAACAGGACGAATTCCGAATTGGACGTATTCTAAAGCAGACCTATACCGAGGTACCACTGTATTTTAAATTGAATAAATTAAAAATATGATTAAAAATTGCAGCCCGGCATTGTGACGATGATACAATAAATATTTGCTCGTTTAAACATTACAGTACATACAGTACATTAAGTAATCCTTAAGATTATAGTAAAAATTAGTATTAAATCAAAAAATTTGGAAGCTTTCCTACTGTTAATTTTCCATTAAATAGCTACTGTATTTTTGTTTATTTATGTTTTTAAATTGAAGAAGGCAATAATAAGAATTTTTGATCAAAATAAAAATTAACCATTTTATGAAAAATGTACAGTACGGTAAATACGTTACTATATATGTTAAATTAGAAGATGGCTTAAGAGATAAAATAAATAGTTTATTCTGTATAAATTTGTAGATAAAAGATAGTTGTATTAAAGTGGGCCAAGTTAATTGGAAACATTTTTAATAGATTAAAAAATACGGGTACATTTTTATATAAAATTGAGAGGACCAATTTTATACGGCACTTTTTCGGAACGTAACTACTGTGTTATACAAGGGATAAGTGTACTGTACTTAATCATTAGGAGAACTGACAAAATTGAGCAAAAATTTACACGCGCAATAAATGAACAGAGATAGATGCACTTGCTAGAGTAAGTTAAATAATATAATGAAAAGAATATTTATTAAATTTGACACTACTGATAATAATTTTCAGATAGGTAGAAAAGGAAAAAACGGCTATTTCTCCATTAGTAATAGAAAAGGTTTGGATACGATTTGCTCAGTGAAAGACCAACTACATATAGCCTAATAGAGAAATTAAAGTAAACATTTTCGAACTGTACAGTACATGTACTGTTTTCTATATTAAAAACACTGTCTCAGTATAATAATTTTGCTTAATTCGAATCGTTTACGTACCCTATGAATTGTCTGATATTCCGTTTCTCGAAAACACGTCTACGAAATTATCATCTTCGTCTTCCTTTTCTCTATTTTTTGCTATATATTTACTATATAGGATATATACTGTATATATAGAAACTCGAATATAAGATTTCTATCTATATACATATGAATGAATAGAAATCGGTTCGTTTCAAGTTGCGTTCTTGCCTACTCTTAGAATTAAGTATTATTCTACATTTCTGATTCGGTCTTTATAAAATTGTGCTATATTATGTTAATATTTGTTATATTTTGTGTTTGAAAGGAAACTAGATAAGCAATTTTCATAATTTTTACAGGAAAATTTTACCTTATTTCAGATATCCATAAACATAATATTTAATTAAAGTGACATAATTTTAATTCAAATAAAAATTAAATAGCTGGAAGCAACAAGAGAATGTGAAAAATTATTAGATGCAAAAACGATAAACGAATGACCATAATATCGTAATAAATAAAATTAATTTTTCGTAAGAATGAAATTAAATCTATGGAATCCCAGAGTTTATTTTAATTTGATCTACAATTTAATATAAACTGAATACTGGAAATGCTAAGGGTCTAAGTAACAAATATGTGAAATGTGGAAAAACGAAATTTTTTGTGGAGAACCTAAAGATGTGGATTTTGTGACTAAAATCTGTTTTAAACATAAGGAGAATCTTGAGATTTTAATCACAAAATTATGGCAGTTAGGTTGAGGACTGGAAATCGTGTCTAACATTGATCATTTCTAGTCCTCAACATGGCATTTATTTGAAAAATAACTAAGGTTATTGATGAATATTAAAATACTTATAACTATGGCTCTTCATTTGAATTAAGAAATAACTATGTTAATTTAAATAACACTCGACAGTAAACATATAATGAGATATTTTCAACGCTACAATAACATTATAATATAGGCCTACTCCAGACAAGTTAAAACAAATTTATTTTAGAAAGATCTTCCTGAAAAATATTTAAATCGGTTTAAAACAAACATTTGAATTTGCTGTTAAACAACTTCAAATCAATACAAATAGCTGAAATAATCAATACATTTTTAATTTCAACCACGAGAATTATATTTGAAATAATCATCCGTAATGTCCATATTATAATAGATAAATCTTAATGCTAATAGATTATTATTTAACATAAGAATTCTATTACGTTGTGACCTATTTATTATATCGTTTCATACACGCAGTAATGGTGTAAGAAAACGTTAACGCGGCTGATACAATTAAATAAAATAGGACGTTCTAACGCAAGCTAAATCTTTCTGAACCTGAAATAGGTTACTAAATACCGAATATATTAATGCATTATAAAGCATTCACTGAAAATTTTATGGGTTGTTTTAACCGCAATACCAATAAATCGATTCCTAAATTTATTTTAAAGAAAATAAATAAGTGTTTAGAAGTAAGAATATTACTGACTCTAATTATTTAAATAACATATGATTTACGAACTATTAATTTATTCAATTATATTTAATAGTAACTGTTTGCTAATTATTAAAAACTTTTGTATACTAAAAATAATCAAAATAGAAAAATATATATATTTAAAATTTAAATATATACATATTAAATAATAAATTATCCATAAATTAAACTAAATTTACATAAATAAGATTTAGAATTTGATATTTTTGGTCAATTGTAAATCTGATTTTTTTATAAAAACATAATTTAAAATTCTATAAATAAAATAATTTAAACGATGCCAAAACATAACGCATTACTTTTTGGTATAATTCTATATAATATGCCACTCCCTTATATATAATTTTCAAAATAGAAAAGTCGTAAAATTTACGGTATTTTCATAGAAAAATATTAATTATTATTCTGTTTATTTTTTAAATACTTTCTATTCGAAATTTATGAAATTTGTAACAAATTGAAGAAATTTAATTTAATATCGGATATTCAGTTTTTCATTCTTTTAATAAAATAATTATTACAGTATTCTATAGTAGATATTATAGTCTTACATCCGAAGAAACAAATAATTAATATATATTATTTTTCATACTTATAATGTAGCATAAAATTACAATATAAAGATTTATACCAGTATTAAGACGATAAAATTTCAGTTATTTATATTGAATATGCTATTAAAATGAAATTTTAGAATTTCTAAAACCACGAAAGGAATGAATTAAGCGAATAAAGTGAAAAATGAACCACGACATACATTTAATTGTTTATTGTGTCGTGAATTGAGTATCCGAAAAATTAATATTTACAGACTTTTCGCATTTTATTTTAAAAATTCAAAATTTGTAATAATTTATAACACAGAAGAATTTATAATTTTACTTTATTGAGAATTTAAATGATAGATAAAAATTGCATTGCCGAATTATATTCTAAAATATCGTATTAAATGAAGAGTCATTTAAAGCAACATTGTTATTAGTGTTATTCTTTATAATTATGTTAATTAAAATGTTATACAAACTTTCAACTAATAAAACAATATTTTTATTAACAAATTTAAGTTTTTATGAAATTGATAAAAAAATTTGATATATTCCATTATTTTTAATGTAAAAAATATGAGTTAAATTATTGACATAATGAAATTCTGTGTTATCTATTACGTTAAAAATCTTTTATTATTATTAATAATATTTCTTATTTAAGCTTATCTTACGAATTTTAAGTTTACATTTTAAACTTAAAATATTCTTAACTTTACACAAACAACATTCTTAGTATAAGTATATCGTGTTAATTTGTAAAATGCTACAAAAGCTTTTATACATTAAAGTTTTTTTTTTAATTAAAGGAAAATTATTTCTTTAAATAAATTAAGAAAAATGGGATAAAGAAGAAATTTTTACATGTTAACAAAAAAAATGCATATTAAAAATATATTAACTAATGCAAATGTTTTATTTATAATTTCAGTTATAAAATTTGATGCGATTCCTAAATAGTGAAATTTTTGAAACAATTTTTTGATTTTTACCGAATTTTTAGAGAGAAAAAATAAGAAAGAGGTTTCGCAAATAAATTTCGCAAATAATTAAAAATTATAGAAAATATTAACTAATTAAGATAAGCAATATTTTTCAGACAACAGTAATAAATGAATTGAATTAAGTAATTAATTAAAATGACTAACTTGTAAGAATAATTACTTCAATTATAAACTTTTTAATTTGTTTTCCACTATATTCATTCTATCTTGTACGAATTGTCCATTTTAAATCATTATAATTACGCAAATTAGCACAATAATTTATTGAAATTTTAATAGAAGATATGACATATAAACAATAATTTCAATAGTTATATGAAACCAAATATCTTTCCGAGAAAGGTTATTTTTAAATAAAAATTAACCTGCATATTACATTAATATTGACAGCTATGGTATAATGAAAAATTATCAGATTTGAAATGAGAACACAATCAAAATGAAATATTTAAAGAGTGGAGTTATTTACTTCATAGATTAATTTAATTATAAATAAGTATAACCCTTACCGTAAAAGATTTTCAAACCCAATGGGCGAAATATCATTGACTCTTACAACCTTGGCCTTGTCTGCCATATCTCCCGATAAAAGAACCTTAAAAACGGGACTTGTCATAGCTAAGAGAACTTTATGCCCCGTATATTTCTTAGCAGAAGAGCCGGGCCCGACTATAAAGGTAACATCGGTAAACGTCTTCTTCTCTAATAGGGAAGATGTCCTTTCGACCAAATTTTCTCCCGCCATTTGTCACTCGACATCCTACGTCAAAAGACAACGTAAATTAGCTGTTAAATTCTTTCCCGACAGCGATTTACTTTCTTCTTTAACTTTCTCTTATATAATTGGTTAAAATTCGTCCAATTACGGGTAAGCTTATAGAAAATTCTTTCAATTAATTGGCTTCGCCACGTGACTTTTCCTATCGTTCGTATCTATTATCCAATTGGTTTAATTCTATTTCGTCACGGCTCGTACGTCAAATAATCTTTTACTTGTCATCGAGCCGGAAGCGAATAAGATTAATCTTTTTCCTATTTCATTAATATCATAATTTTTAAAACTGAAAAACTGTAAAACCATAGCTATAGGCCAAATTATTATAATAACTACGCAATTACTTTATCAAATTTTGAAAAATTCTTAAATTTCAAAATTTCTTAATAAATTGAAAGTCTTACCTCCCAATTATATATTGATACATTCCCGGTAAAAAACAAAAATATAATTTATTTTAGCATCGAATCCGAACGGAGTAACGTCTGTCTAACGGAAGTTCGGCCAATGATCTGCGTTTCGATAACGTGTCTTCTTCAGTCTGTTTGAACGTCATTGTCGTCATGACAACGTGACGGAAGAAGGGGAGACGAACCACGTGACTAACGTCCCTCGGTGACAACGAGGCTGACTATGGGAGGGGCGTCTACTGGAGTGATGAACGAGCCGGCTCACACTACAAAGGTATTCAAACTGAGACACGCGTTATAAAAGAGTGGAAAACAACCGAGTTCACTTATTTATCTTTATGTATCGATTTTCGGAATCCTTTCAGGAACCATCACAAATGACATACATTTATAATCTCCAAGGAATTTACCTCGTACTGGGTCATATCTAAATTAACGAAATTATCATCAAAACGTTTTAGCGACGTTTCTATTTTATCGAAGTATTCTCGTGACGTGTTAACAGAACTTCCCCTCGTGAATTTCCGCGTGACGCCAACATAATTCAACCAATACAATTATGGGAATTCTGACAAAAATACTATGTTTAATTGACTCGATGTAGGATAATGTTTGTTAGAATGTATCACGCTACAACTTAAATTTAGTGCATTTTATATTAAAGGCATAAATTCTTTCATGTTAATAATATTTCATTTACTTGTATACGTACAGGTTCTAATTAAATAATTTTATTTTTCTTCTACGAAAACTTATTACGGTGTTACCATACTCTGTGCAAAGAAAATTAGATCATAACTCATGGTGAAGCAAATTTAATTATTTTAATTTCTTGCAGAAATAATATTAGGAGAATTATTTTTTTTAAAAATGATTAAACTCACAATACAACAGACACGTATTTTTTCTTACAAATGCAGTTCTAAGTTTAACAAATGCTGGAAATTCTCCTCGAATTCTATAAAAACGGCACATACTTAATTTTTCTATGAATTTATTTCAGATTTCAGTTTTAATGGCTCCTGTGCATACAATACTGGGTGTGACTCACTCGCCTTACATAAAAATGCCCAAATCGACAGGTGTTAGTTTCTTCATGACCTGGATGTCTTACGATTAGTATCGACTTAACAAATGTATTTGTAATGTTTCACTTTTACTAAAGAAAAATGAAAAAGTAACAATAATAATAAGTAGGAAGTGGAGTTTTGGGCGTGGTCTCGATGAAAGCTTATCCAAAAAGAAAAAAAAAAAATTATAATTAGGAGAAGGATATAGGTTATAGAACTGTTTACAATATAGGTCTATCTAAAATTTCTACGTTCTGAGAATGGAAAAACAGCTAATTATTATTTTGTATAATGATCCTTATGCTGTATTAACAAATCGATATATTAAAATCTAAAAACCCTGCCAATAAAAATGAAAAAAATTCAAAAAATTTAAATTAAATCCAGTTCTTTATTTTTTTTTCTAATTAATAATATATTTTTATTAATTGAAGGATTATTATTCTTCTTTGAAGGTTTTAAGCTTAAAATTTGAGTTTAAAAATATATATATTTATTTTTAAGAATATTTTTAAAAGGTTAAGTTTCTCTTTAAACATTTATAACTAGATAAAATATGTATACGATGCTATTTGATTGATGCGATAATTTCATAGAATTGCTATGAATTCATTACCTTAATTCCTTCAATATATTGTGTATAGTAAAGAAAGTTACCTGTAAAGCTGACTTTACTGTTGAAATTCTTGATTTGCAGAGAAGATACTACTCGTGTAATATGATATTTCATATTACTTAAAACTATGTTTAAGAATTCAAGTGTGCTGTACATAAATATCAGAGAATATAGTCATACTAAAAGTAGTAATGGAAATCAATATTTAAAAAACTCTGCAAACTATTTTAAATACAAAAATTTGATTAGAATTGAAAATTCTGCTTACTTCTTTTTTTATACTGTAAACATATTGAATCTAGTCTACATTTAATTATATAGGTCTATAAATAATGCAAATAACAATATATATTCGTTTCACATTTTACATTGTAAAATTAATATTGAATTATTAGTACCTGTTAATTACAATGTTATAAACTATCATAATGCAATAAATTTATTTATATAAATATACAAATAAATATATTTATTATTACGCTTATAGCAGTACGATATGTGTAGATTATTATTATAATTAATAATTAATAAGCTCCATCTAAATAAGCATATTATTTATTACATATAATAATATTAAATGTATCTTGTTAAATAATAATAATTGTTGTTGTTATTATTACTATTGCACATATAGGAACACATTATATGTAATTTACTTTATTCTTAATGACATATATCCGGATTATGGTATTAATTGCATATTATTTTAATATAATATTCTAATTTTATTGTTACATATATCAGAAGAATATGATTATAAATAGAAGGAATTAATCAGATACTGTGGATTAATGGTTTGGTTCTTTAGCTCGTTTTAAAGTATTATTAATTAATATATATAATATAATATTTTNCAATTATTTTAGAGACTATATAAAAATATGCATGCCAAATACCTAGAACAGTTGCATTTAATTATGTAGAATTTCTTAAAATATGATATTTATATAATATTTATGTTTTTAGTTACAATTTTTAATGAAGACATTACGTTTACAATGCTCTAAATTCTAACGTATACTTATATTTTAAAAGCATTTACAGTTTATAATACGAGAATGTATAAATAATTTGGTTTTAATACTTGTATTAAATATCATTAACAAATACAGTGCTTATACTTAATGTTTTAAAATTTGTAAGTCTTAAATTATCGTTTTAAATGGATTTAAAATACGAAAAAGTAGTGTTTTGAGTGGCGATTTAAATATCTCAGCATGAAAAATGCAGTTTTATCGACAAATAATCTGATTTGATTTTATTCTGATAATCCGATACAATCGAAAAAAGCAATTTTGGTTAGAATAGCATTTTAGTAGCTGTATAAATGGTGTCCTTGGAAGATAAGAAAGGTTAAAAGTAAACTTACATTCTTCTGGGCATTCTGGCGAGAAATGTGTTATGAAGGGGTTCCGACATGGTCGAAGCACTGAGCATTATTGCTAGACAGCTGTTTGGATCTCACGTCTACGACGGAAAAGGAGGAGGTCACGGTTGGTGGATACGACTGGATAAATTATGTAGATGGAGAAAACGTCATACTCACTATTACCATTAAGTCGAATTTTTTTATAGCAAAAAAAAACTTCACCCGCAAATCAATATCAGCTGACGAAAAGACTAAAGAATGTACTTTTTAAATGGAATTGGAATTAGAAAAGGTATTTTCGCTTTTATTTGATTAGAAATTGCGAATTTCTATAATCTCTCCTCGAGTATCTTTCGTGGAACGAATAGAATGTTCTTTAAAAATCTCGCAGGAAACGATTGGAAGATTCAAAAAAATGTCATCCAATTAAAAGACAGTAAAATATTAGAAAGTTTAACAAACTTTTAAATAGACTGAATTTTATATCTGGGTCATGATTTTATTTTTATTTTTCATTTTTCTGTTTTTACTACTCCAAACCAAAACATTTTAACTTTAAAATTACAAATATTTTCACAACTTTAACCTGTAGAAACGTGTGATATAACACATACAGGCTCTTTCATAGTATTAATATAAAAGGAAACAATTCGATCAAGGTCGTATCTTAAATTGGGTGGAAAGTTTATGAATAATAGATGCGTTATATAAGTAATTGCTATTCTTCGAGCAATTCTTAGACTAAATAATCGATTTTAACTCGTTGCTGACATTAAGATGTGGAAAAGTATGTCTAGGAATGTCGGAAGGATTGGCTGAGTAACCTCTGATGTCGAAACGTAGTCTCGGGCATCGTCATTCGTCAAAATCACCAAATAAGGAAAATTTCGGGAGTTAATATTTAGAAAATACTTTTTTAAGTCGTTATTGGGCAACCACTTGTCGCAATGTCAACTAGTGTCACGTGGAGACAAGAAAATTACCATCCAGGATATTTGCTGAAGCGTTATGTAGCGGAACTGATTATCAAACAGAATTCATTCAACGTATATCACGTGATTTGAAAAAATGATAATGTTTCGGTTTTTAATAATCGAGAAGCAACATTTAGTATTCAAAATCGTTCCAAACGAGATGAATGTATGCATTTACGCTTGCACACAATTTAACGGAAGAAATCTTAATTGTGAATTGATTCAACAACATTCCCTAATCGAGTATATACTTTAATAACATTCAATTATGGGATTATACTAAATCGATAGCTCTCTAAATCATAGAACATTTTTAAAACTTAATTAATCAAACTTATTATTATCCTTTCTACCTATGAATGATAATTTAAATTTAAATAGTTATGAATCATTCATTGTTTCAAAATTAATCCAATTTTATTTTATATAATTTAAAAATAATAAAATTTATAAGATTTTTATTAACATATTAGCCTATCCGATATTAATTGAAGTCTTAAAATAAATTGAATCGTGAAGTTACATTTAAATTTGTTTTAAAATGTTTACATAATTTCGTATTTATATAAAATTTAGATACGTTTATTCACTTTAATAACAACAAATAATTGCAAATTCTTACTACTTTACATTATTTTTTTTCGATAAAGTTAATGTAAAATCAGTTTTTTAATAATATATATGAAAGTTTTGTAAAATAA